AAAAAAAAAAAAAAAGAGTGCTCTTCCTGTAGAGGTATTGTAGGCCCAGAAGGGCAGAAGCAGATTTACCATTTGTGAAATAAGAGTAAGTGGGGTATCAGACATATCAGTGATGGATCAGACTCTCAGAATAGAACACATGAGACTTTGGTCTATCTATTTTCCACTCACCAGGGCTAAATATTACATACTGTGAATTTTATGTATGACAGGCATTGCATATGAAAGGAGCTACGCTACTTGTGATCCCAGGCTCAAGCATAACGTCCTCTGTGGTCCATTCAACCCCTGCCTGGAGCCTGGCTCATGGGTCACATATGAGCGTATGGCTAGGATTATGGGTTGAATGACCAAATAGTTTGTCTTCTAAACCAGACACTTTTTAGGGTGAAGATGGGTATTATTATTATTATTATTATTATTATTATTATTATTAATGTATTTGGTACAGGGTCTCACTGTGCAGTTTGTACTTGTAGTGATCCTCCTGTTTTCGGCCTCCCCAGTGCTGGAATTACAGGTATATGCCACCATGCTGAACTCACTCCCTAGCTCAGTGCCCCGGGGGTGGGACTGGCACCAACATGCATGTGGTGCTGGGAGATCAAATCTGGGTTCCTGTGCTTGCCTAAACAGGCTCTTAGTCTGCTGAGCTATCTTGCTGGCCCAAAGTGGGGTATTATTAATTATTAAACTGGGACATAGTTATAAACCCAGATAGTTCTGGGCAATCTTGACATTTGATAGTTTTAAGTCCTTTCTATATTGCTTTTGAAAACAAAATGGTTTTCCGCTTCTGAGTCTGTTAGCTCTTCTGAAGTTTCTGTAATTGGTTTAGCAGCACAGTAATTCAAAAGGCTAGCTTTTGCATTTTGATTTTTTTTGAGCTGTATTTCATTTTCTAATTCAGAGTGATATTTTCTTTTTAAGTAAAATTGCTGTCTTATTCACTATGTATGTGCCTTTATACAATTAAATGACTGTCTTATACATTATTAAGTAAATCATAATGGTTCTTTGGAATCTTTCACCCAGGTAATAACCAAAAGGCAACATAAAGGACAAGATAGGAGCTGATGCTGCTAATGCCCATGCCTAGTAATTGTTTACTTGGCAAAGATCAAATCTGGGATCATTTACAGTATTACAACTTTACTTTTACTTTCTGCTTTGCAATGATACTTGGGCTGTTGAAGTTAAATTAATATTGATAATTTTCAGTGTTTGAAACCATTGTATATGAAAGTAAACTTTGATTTCTCCATTATCTTCCCTGCTGTTGTCTTAACAGAAAAAAGCTTGGCAGGACCACAAGCGGGAATGCAAATGTCTTAAAAGTTGTAAACCCCGATATCCTCCAGACTCAGTGAGACTTCTTGGCAGAGTTGTCATCAGGCTTGTGAGTATACAACTCATCAAATATGCATGAATTTTAATTTTATAAAAGCATTTGATATTGCATTTGCTAGTCATATTTAAGACTGCAATCGAACCCACATTAAGATGGAAAGTGTATTACTGTAGGAAGTATCTCAAGATACAAATCTTGATTTCTTATTAATTCTGGAATTAGTAGCAGTGGAGAATCACATACCTTCCCCGAAAGGCACTGCGTTTCATTCTGGAAATAGATATACGAAGTCCTATATTTGGGGTAGAAGTATTTAAAATCTGTCACATTGTTTTTTAACTTTTCTACTTTGAACTAATGCACAGGACATGTATGTCCTTTTTGTTTGTTTCTTCATTGAGATTTTAATTTGACAAGTAATAATAAATTGAGGGATACTTACTGATCCTTATATAGTCTAGATTCATTGAAATGATTTATTATCCTATTTTCATGAAGTGCTCAAAGTGGATTCTGTGAACTGCTGCTCTGCTTGGAAAATCCTAGAGACTTTATCATGAATATCTTTCTCAAATTATTACAGCTGTGTTCTGTCTTTTGTTTATTAAGCTTTTTTTTCAACTCTGAAATTTATTAAGGGCAGAAAGAATGTAAAAATATGCAAACTTTTTGTAAAATAACCGTCCTCTGTTTGGAGATTACAACTGTTAGATACAAGTTGCAAGTTAGATTTTATTTGAAAGTTTTTATTGATTTAGTAATTCAACTTTAAAATGATAAAAACTATGTAGGAAACTATTTTTTTAAATAAACTTTAAGTATTTAACAGAGCTTATGGAGTATTTTAAATTGTCTTTGGTGTTTCTCACCTTTACTTCACAGATGGAAGAAACACCTTCTGAATCAGAGAAGCTTTATTCATTTAATGATCTGGAATCAAGTAAGTGATTGTGAGCATTTTAAAAGAGAAAAACCTATAATTTATTTACTGAGCTAGAAACAATCATTTGTATGTCTGCATGTCTGTATAAGTGTATGTGTGTTTCTATGTACTGTACATGTATAATGTATTTATTTAGCTAAGTTCAGTAACCTGAGCTACCACTGAGTTAGCCTCAGTCACAAAACTGCTTTATGACTTTTTCTTTCTTTATTATGTAAAACAAACCTAAGAGAAGTTTTCATTTTTATAAACAACTCTCTCTTTAGTTTATTTCATTTATTTCAGGGTAGTTTTGACCATATAGAAGTTTGTAAATAACCATAAAGATATCCAGACTAGTCAAGGTAATATAACCATTATTTCAATTGCCAAAATTTTTCTTTCACCTCATCTTCTTTTCCTCTCTTCTGTCGTAGTTTCCTCTTCTGATTTCTGATGTAGTTGAACAAATTGCTTTTAGAGGGCCTTTTAGGGTCACCATTCTTTTGAATATTATGGACAGTTGGAGGTACAGATGCTTTGGGTTCTATGACAGTATTGAGCTTTGCTGTTTTCCTAAACTGCTATAGTCAGTGAGCAGGTCCTTCTAATGATTGAACCTTTCTTTACATCTGGTCATCAAGCAGATATCAGGATTGTCTTGCTTCTCTATTGGCACATATTCTCTTCATTGAAGTTGTAAATGATGTCAACCTGCTCAGCAGAGTAAATTTGCCACATAGTTTAATATTTCTGGATAGAGGCAAGCACGGTGATGATCTAGTACAGATTTATGGTTATAGGATCCTTAGTGCCAATGGTGATAAATTATTATTTAAGAAATCAGTGGGCTAATTATTCTGTTGAACAAGTAATTTAGAAAAATCTGCAGACCTGACATGAGCAACATAGTTATGCTATAGTTCAACTTGATTTGTCTTTTTAATTTTAATAGAGAACTAATTAGTCATTTTTTCTCATATATAACTGTTAGATAATTAACACCTCTTTCAGTGGGTTTTACGATTAACATTATCCCTGCTTGGCATCACTGTCATACATACTGCTTGCAGTGGAATGTTTGCAAATATTATTAATTAAATGGTGCATAGATAAGCTTAATACATAATTTGTGGTATACCTTAAGCTGATTTTAAGGGGTTTGTATCAATTTTTAAACTACCTTTTAAAAAAAATAATTGGCATAATCTGTATTAAAATTTAGAGGCTATAGTACAGAAATTCAGTGTATCTTTATAATATATAATGATAAAATCATGGTAATTACCATTTCCATCTCAAAATTTTATACTTTTTATGTGTTGGGAATTCTGTCTTAGTTACTCTTCTCTTGTTGCTGGGACAAATACCCGACACTCAAACTTAAGGAAGGAAAGGTTTATTTAGCTCACAGTTATACGGCCTGAATTATGTAGCAAGACCTTGGAGCCTTATTTGCTCAGGAGAGAAGGTCAGTGTGTCTGTCTTCTCCAAACATCTCCTCCCTGCCTGTGGTGGCCTCAATCACAGACACTGCTGCCCCATGCTACAGGGTCTGGAGGAGAGGCTGGCCTGCCACTGTGTCCAGGATGACCCTCTCCACACCTCCAAAGGCCATTGGCCTGGTGGGTGATGCGGGGGGCAGAGCACATGCTGTCAGTTTAAAGGTTTGCACCTCTCTGGCCCCACCCCTCAAGCCCCACACTGGTCCTCTGGCCATGCCCCTCAAGCCACTTGCTGCTCCTCCAGCCTGGTCTGCCCCATGACTTACACAAGGCTTGAGGGGGACAACTAGACACCAACCGTAACAGTTGAGAAGCTTTGAATTTTTTAATAGTTGTGAAATATGCCATAAATTGTTATAGACTATATTTACTGTACTATAGAACAGTATTACTAATTCTTCCTATTTAACTATGCTTTGTTACACATTATCTAACTCCATTATCTCTTCTCTGTAGTGTCTAGTGATAGTGACCCACTCCTCTATGAGATTGAGTGAGGATGTAATGTTTGTTTTTTTTTTATGTCTGGTTTATTTCACTTAATATTATATTACCCACTTTTGTCCACTTTCCTGAAAATGACAGTATTTCTTTTTTCATGTCTAATACTTCAGTGTGTGTGTGTGTGTGTGTGTGTGTGTGTGTGTGTTTGTGTGTGTGTTTATGTGTTGTTACATTTTCTTTATGATTGATATTAGGTTTATTCTGTATTTTGACTTTTGTGTATAGCACACAAAATATGGGAGTGTTGTTGACTTTTTTTGGTGTGTGCTGGTATAATTTTATTTCCTTCATATATACTCAGTTCTATAATTGCTAGAACATAAGGTAGTCCTGTTTTTAGCTTTGAAGGAACTGCCATATTTTTTTTTATAGTGGATTTGCTAATTTACATTTCATCAACAGCCTTCAAGGATTGATTTATTTTTTAATATTTTAAGAGAATAAAAAACAGTAAATAAAAAATTAGAAATGATACAGAATTTCACTAAAAAAACCAGAAATTCAACAATGGTTGTTATACTGCATAATGTTGTCTTCAAATTAGTTGCTTAGATTACCAGATACAAGCATGCAAAATTGGTAAAGAAAAAGTTATAAGAAATTAAAGTGAGAAGAAAAAAGGTTAAAGCATTAACTACTTTTCAATAGACCAGCAGAAATCAGCATTACAGTTATCCAAGCTATCATATTTTTATCTATATCTATATCTATGTGTCTATCTATATCTATATATTTTATATCTGTATATACATATATAGGTATATATCTCCTTCTCTTTCTTCATTCCAGTTGTTCCTTTCCTTTGAACAGATTCTTTGCCTTTCACAGTATCTATTGCTCCTTTCAGATTTTATTTATTCTTTCAGATTCTTATACTAGCAAGACAATAACATGTTTAGACATGTGCGTCTGATTTATTTCACTTATATATATGGTCTCTAGTTGCACCCATTTACCTATAAAAACCTTGAGTTTATCTTTTTAGTAGCTGAGTAATATCCATTGTATAAAAAATACCACTTGTTTTTATTAGTTCCTCAGTTGATGGACATTGGGGCTGTATCCAAGATCTAGTTGTGACAGATGGCACTGCTGTAAACATGAGTGAACATCTCCCTTCGGGGAAAACATCCAGGAAGGGGATTTGAATGGGACCTCCAGTCCTAGCTTTTTGAGGCATCAGCACACTGATTTCCATAGTGGTTGTACCAGTTTACATTCTCACCAACAGTGGAGTACAGTTCATTTTTCTCCACAGTCCTTCCAGCATTTGTTATTGACTGACTTTTTGATGATAGCCATTCTTTCTGAGATGAGATAGAATCTCAGTGTTGTTTTAATTTGCATTTCTTGAGTGACAAATGATATTGAACCTTTTTTCATGTGTTTATTTGCTGTTTGTATTTCTTCCTCTGAGAAGTATCTGTTCATCTCAGATGCCCATGTTTTGATTGAGTCTTTGAATTTTGGGGGCCTGAAAATTTTTAATTCTTCATATGTTCTAGATAGAAGTCCTTTGTCTGAGGGACATTTTTTTCCAATTTGTAAGTTTTCTTTTTAGTCTTTTGGTGATTTCTTTTGACATGGAGGGACTTTTTATAAAGATGAGATCCTAGTTGTTGATTCTTTGGAGTATTTCCTGTGTAGTTTGGATTTTGTTCATGAAATTTTGTCTACTCCTATATCTTCAAGGTTTCTGCCTACTTTCTTCTCCAGTAGATTTAGTGTTTTTGTGTTAACATTTAACGTTTTGATCCACTTTGACTTTTGTTTAGTACATGGTGATAGACATTGGTCTAATTTTAGCCTTTGGCATGTGAAGAGCTAGTTTTTTCCAGCACTATTTATTGAGAAAGCTATCTTTCTTTCAGTAAACATGTTTGGCCCCATTTTCAAAGATAAGTTGGCTGAGTGTGTTTGTAGTTGTGTCTGCATTTTTTTTTTTTTTTTTTTGCCTGGACCATGCTGATTTTATCACAGTAACTTTGTAGTATAATTTCAAGTCAGGGATTGTAATGCCTCTTGCCTTTCCTTTGTTGCCTAGGATTGTTTTTGCTATTTTGTGTCTTTTCTGGTTCCAGATGAATTTTAGGAATGTTTTCTTTAGACCTATGAGGTTTGCTGTTTTATTTATTTGGAATTGCATCAAATCTGTATAACAATTTTGGGAGTATGGCCATTTGCACAATGTTGGTTCTTCCTAACCATAAGCATCTTCCTATCTTTCCTTGGTAGAAATCCTCTTCAGTCTCTTTTTGCAGAGTATTATAATTTTCACTGTATATATCTTTTACTTCTTTTGTCAGATTCATTCCTAAGTATTTCAGGTTTTTTGGATGTTATTGTGAAAGGAATGGTTTCCCTAATTTCTCTCTTAGGGTGCTTGTTGTTTACAGAAATGCTACTCATTTTTGAGTGTTGTTTTTGTATCCTGCTAGTCTACTCAATTTGGTTATTAAAAACACAAGTCTCTTGGTGGAGTTTTTGCGGTCTTCTCTGTAATGTACCATGTTGTCTGCGAATGATGATAATTTCAATTTTTCCTTTCTAATAATTATTCTTTTTATGTCTCTCTCGTCTCCTTGCTCTGGCTAATGTTTCTAGTTCTGTATTGAATAGGAGTGGTGTCTTGTTCATGATTTCAATGTGAAGCTTGTCAGTTTTTGTCCATTTAGTATGATGTTGGCTGTTGGTTTGTTATAGATGGCTTTTACCAGTTCGAGATAAAGACCGTGTGCTCTGATTTTCTGTAGGGTTTTTATCATGTATGTTAGACTTTGTCAAAAGCTTTTTTTTGCATCTTTTGAGATTATCATTGAAGTTTTGTCTTTGGCTCTGTTATGTGGTGTACTACACTTATTAATTTGTGTATATTGAACCTTTTTTGCATTTTTGGGATGTATCCCATTTGGTCATAACGTATAATCTTCTTGATGACTTGCTGCATTCTGTTTGCTAGTATTTTATTGAGGATTTTTGCATCTTTGTTCATGAGGGAGAGTGGTTTGTAGTTGTCTTTTTTGGTTAGCTCTTTCTCTGGTTTTGGTATAAGAGAAAGACTTGGCTCTCAGTCAGTCTCTTGGGACAAGGGGGTGGAGGTGGAGTAGGCTCACCAAAACTTTCACTGTCTGGGGTTTAATATGGTTTATGCAAGGTTGAGTGGGTGGTAAGCTGCAGCTCAGGAGGGCCCCAATGATGATGGGGGGAAGGTTAACACTGTGCAAGGCTCTCTGATGGTGGGGAGTGGCAGAGTAGGACTCACCTAGACTCCTGTGATGGTGGAGGGGTGGGCCACAGCTCAGAATAGCTTTCTCAGCAGTATGTATGAGGGGTCAGGCAGGGCTCACCAGGGGCCCCACAGCTCTTTGGGGTTGCCCTGCCTTCTGTGATCCCAGCATTTTTGTGTGTGTCTTTGATAATAGCTGTAAGATTTCAATGAGATGATATATCATTATTTTGATTTGCGTTTCCCTAATGATAAGTAATGATGAACTGTTTTTTCATTTGTTGACCATTTGTCTAAATTCTTTTGAGAAATTTATAGTCAGATCAAGTCCACACTTTTGATTAGATAATTATTTATTTTATCATGTTGAGTAGTTCTGAGTTCCTTATATATTCTGTTATTATTCCCCTGTGAGATGAATAGTTTGCAAATATTTACTTCCATTCTCTAAGTTGTCTCTTCACTATATTGTTTTCTTTGTCCAGAAAATTTTAAGTTTTGTGTAATCCTATTTGCCAATTTTCTTTTGTTGACTGTGCTTTTAGGGCCATATCCAAAAGAATCTTTGACTAGACTGGTATCCAGACTTTTTCTTTTATGCTTTTCTTTAGTAGTTTTGTGTCTGATATTTAAATCTTTGATCCATTTTTCATTGATTTTTATATATGGTGAAGCCTAAAAGACTAGTTACATTCTTTTGCATAAGGATATCCAGTTTTCCTAGTGCTACTTATTGCTGATACTATCACTTCTCAAATATTTGTTCCTGGTACCTATGTTGAAAATCAGTTGACAGTGTATTTGTAGATGAATGTCTATGCTTTTTATTCTGTAGTGTTGGATCTATGTTCGCTTTTGTGTCAGTATGATGCTATTTTGGCTGCTATAAATTTGTGTATGTTTTGAGATCAGATATTGTGATGCTAGTAACTTTTTGTTTTTGTTTAGGATTGCTTTGTTTACTTGGAGTCTTTTGTGGTCATATATTTTTTATGATTATTTTTCCTATTTCTGTGAAAAATGTCATTGGTTTTCAGTGGGAGTTGCCTTGAGTCTAAAGATCACTTTGGGGAGTATGGATATTTAAAAAATGGAAATTCTCACAAATCATATATATGGGACATTTTTTTCACTTTTTAATGTCCTAAATATCTTTCATTGGTGTTTCACAATTTTCATTGCAGCGATCTTTCACCTCCTTGGTTAAGCTTCTTCCTAGATAGTATTTTAATTTTGAGGTAGCTGTTGTGAATGACATAGCCTTCTTGATTTCTTTTTCAGTAAGGGAATGTTATTACCTGGACACTATTAAAAGCTAAACTTCTAAATTTTAATGATGACCATCATAGATGGTATGGAAGATTTGTTTGTTTGTTTGTATGTTTGTTTGTTAACAAAAGAATGAACCCAGAGCTTTTGTTCTGAGCTATTTTTCCAGCCCTTGAAAAAATTTCTAGACAGGTCTCATCATGTTTCCCAGGCTGGGTCTCGCCTGTGACCTCCTGCCTGAACCTCCTTAGCAGGAATCCAGCTCAGGAGAAGGGAGTGTTACCTCAGGAATCTTTATAATAAAGATTTTTCACTGGGGGAAAAATATGTAAATTAGTATGTAAAATTTTATTTTACTGATATAAAAATCCTGTTGATTTTTACATATTGCTGCTTTGCTAAATTCATTTATTGGTTCTTTTTTTTTGGGGGGGGTGTTTGTTTTTGCAGTGTCTTTCTCTTCAGGATGGAAAGAAACACAACCACAACCATGTCTTTATGTTTAGTTTAGAGCAGTAACATACCTGTTTTTTCACCTTTAAAGTAACTTGCAGTTAAGATTTCTTTAGTTGGTCCATGTTTTCTTCATTATGTACATTTCATATGACAAATTTCAGTTATTTGAACTTTATCTGAACTTTTTATTTTTCATTTTCTGTCATTTTTTCTTCCAAATGACATAGTTTATCATTTAGTTATGTCCTAGTTTTAAATTATTACATGGACAAATATATTTAAATTTATTGACTTAAGGATTTATTATGTTCTATATATATATATATATATATATATAGGAAAGAAGATGTACAAAATCAGATAATACACAACATTACTGATTTTACTTTTAATGCTGTTTACTCTGTATGCTTTTTTTTTTTTTTTTTAATGTATTTAGTACAGCGTCTACAGGCTGTCACTACACAAATCAGACTCCTACTGATCCTAATGTTTTCAGCTTCCCAAGCACTGGGATTATAGGCAGGAGTCACCACACCCAGTCTCTCTCTTTCTTTCTCTCTATCTCTTCTTTTTTGATAGCTGTTTGATCTTACATTGTAGTTAAAATTTGGCAGAATTTAATTGATAATATGGGTTTTTATTTAGAGTTATTAAAAAAAGGAAAAGATGACAGAATGACACATAAGGCAGGCAGTAATGTGATTTTGTTGCATACCTGAAAATTATCCATGAAGTTGGCTTTGTGATTGTGGTATTTATTTTCTTTTTGAAAAAGATATTAATAAACTGACCGAAGATAAGAAAGAAGGCCTCAGGCAACTTGCAGTGACATTTCAGCATTTTATGAAAGAAGAAATACAGGATGCTTCTCACCTGCCACCTTCTTTTGACATTTTTGAAGCCTTTGCAAAAGTAAGTGTTAAATTTCATCTCTTTGCTGTTCGCGTAAGTCACATTTTTACCCTGTTTTGTGTTGTTGGTTACAAAAGAGTCTAGACACTCAGGAAATCCAACACTTAATGCATTATGTTACTTCCCTACCTAAATGAGTGCATAATAAGGGAATGTGTTTTGGATAGTGAAAAGGTATTGCTTTTTCTGTTTTATCTGCATTTGTATTTTGGCCTACCATATGTTCATTATCCCTTTATTTCTTACTAAAGATTTGAAGCTTACCATGGTGCACACTGAGTTTCATGGTGATTAGCTTTGCATAGATCCTGCCTTTTAAATGAATAATTTATTGGAATCAGTTTCTGCTTATGCTGGTTATAAAAATATGAAAGCATATCTATTTCTAATTTTTAGTTAATTGCCTAAAAGTCTGTTTAGATATTTTAGACCATTACACTTCAAGGTTAGGGATAGAAAACAGGTTTTAATAACTGTTTCCTCTCTGGTTTACTAGGGTTACATTAAGTGTTCTTTTTGAAAATAATTGCAAAAGTGTGAATTGGTCCTGGAAGGCAGAGTGTGTTGATTTGATTCTTGATATTTTACTCCGAGACCCTGGTAACATCTCACACATATTCCCTTCGCTGCCATGGATCTGTTATCTGTGTGTTCTCATATTGTGTGTTTAGGTTTAATACAGATCATATTTTATAAAAACAATTAGAATTTTTAACAACTAAAATTTTATATTTTAAGATAATTTTGCCACTTATTTGCAACTTGTAAGTGCATTTGATGTTACATTTACTCACATTTATGGTATACTTCTAAAGCTACCTTTGTAGTAATTTCAGTTATGGTTAGTTTGAGTGCTAGAGATTTATTCTATTTTTTCTTAAATGTAATTTTATTCTTTAAAATATATTATGAATTTTCTGAAAAATATCATCTTAGCATTATAATTCTGGTTTGTCTATAATTTAGAATCAGTTCCAAAATGTAATGGTTATTTACAATGCATCTAAGAAATTTCTCACTTATTTCATGTGCTTTTAAAAATTATAATGCATTGTACTACCTTGTGTATAGTACACACACAGTGTATAGTACCTTTTTGTCAGGTTTTAGTGGCAGCAATGATGGTGGTAGGACAGAGAAGCAGGAAAATAGTGGGGGGAAGCCTTTATTAATTCTGAAGACGTAAAGAGGATTGAGGGCAGGAGACAGATCCTTTGACCCGAGACAGGGAGGATGAGAGTTTATGGAGTTTTGCTAGGGGCTGAGTTTGAGAGGCAGGTTTAGTGACACACATGACATGATTGGAGGTTCCCTTGTGTGGGCAAGAAAGGTAAAAAGAAGTTGTATCCAGGGCTGGAGTGGGGAAGAAGGAGGAAGTGGTCATTGTGAAAATAAACTGTTGTTTCGGGGATTCAACCACATTGGATCAGGG